TCCACTCTGCCTGAGAGTTCATTCCTCCAATTGAACCCCAACAGTGGCATCTGAAAAAGAACGCTTGTGCAAACCTAACAGCGGGCTATATTCTCAGATTTATAACCAGATTTTGAATGATCCTTTAATAGTAGTAATATGAAGAAAGGTATCTTTTTCTGTCATCTTGCAGTCAACAAATGCTACTTGCTGGTTGGGCTTCTAGTTCTATAATGGTGTAAATCTAGGACAAAAATAGACCTGGAATATACAGTTCTAAAAGCAAACAATATATAATCTTTAACATGTGAGTATTGCAAAATTATCAAATATTAATATTCAACAAAAAACAAATATCTGTACAAGTGTCAACTTTCGGGTGTCAAATGCCTAACTGGAGTGAAATGGGTACTTTAATTAAAATAAATCTAATTAATATGGAGTAGCTCAAATCTGATCTAAAATGCATCAATTTTGGTGGCAAATTGCGATCACTGAAAAGACAGTCTTCAAAAACATGGTAACATTTGTACTTAGAAAACCACTAATCTGTTGACAAGTGAAAAAAAAATCCAAAACTAAAGCTATACAGTCCTATGTTCAGAGAATACAAAGTACTGAATAGCAATACCAAAACTTTACTGTTTTGGTACTGTTCTGTTCAAACTGTAAAGCATTGTGGGGGGTATATATCAGAGTGCACGTCTGTTTAAATCAGTGGACTGCAGTCTGTGGCCAGAGAACCAGATGTGGCCCTTTGATTGCCTTTATCTGGCCCTTGGTACACTATTCCTTTCACTGACACCAACTGCATAATTTCTGTCATTAGACATCCACTTTTGGGCACCTTTCCTCCCAATGATACCAACAATGGGAGACTATTCCTCCCACTGATACCAACGATAGGGCACTATTCCTCCAACTTACACCATAGATGGGGCACCATTCCTCTGACTGATATCAATGATAGAGCCCCATTCCACACACTGATACTGAAGATGAGCACTTATTCCTTCCAGTGACACCAAAGATAGGGCACTATTCCTCCCACTGACACTAATGATGAGGTACTATTCCTCCCACTGATACCAACAATGGGCACTATTCCTCCCACTGTCTGCAATTATAAGGCACTATTCCTCTGATACTACTAGTGAGGCACTATTCCTCATTCTAACACTTTTTTGCATCAGTGGTCTTGGCTGTTTAAACCTGTGGCCTGAGAGACAAATGCCCCCTTTGCTTGTCTTTATCTGGCCTTTGGGGCACTATTCCTTCCACTGATACCAACTGCATAATTTATGGCATTGACACCAACAATTGGGCACATTTCCTCCCACTGACACAAAAAATGGGGCACAATTCCAACCACTGACACCAAAGATGGGGCACTGTTCTTCCCACTGACGCCAATGATAAAGCACTATTACTCTCATCAATACCAACAATGGGACACTATTCCTCCCACTGATACCAACGATGGGGTACTATTCCTCTCACTGATATAAAAAATGAGACATTATTCCTCCCACTGATAATAACAATGGGACACTTTTTCTCACACTGACACCAAACATGGGGCACTATTGCTCCCACTGATACTAAAGATGAGACACTATTCCTCCCACTGATACCAGTAATGCGGCACTATTCCTTCCACTGATTCTAAAGATGGGGCACTATTCCTCACACTTATATACAAGATGGGGCACTATTCCCCCCAGTGACACCAATACTGAGGCACTATTCCTCCCACTGACACCAACAACGAGGAACTATTCCTCTTATCGATACAAATGATGGGGCACTCTTTCTCCCACTGACACTAAAGGTGGGGCACTATTCCTCCCCTTAATTCTAAAGTTGGAGCATTGTTTACTATCAATGACCAAAGTCCAAACCTTCTAAAGTTTGAAGAACAGTAAACTGCCACATTGTTTAGAAAGTTTGGAGACCTGATTTAAATCATTTTTCACATAAAGATATGGCATTATAAAATGCACATTTTGTTAAATAAGACTGTCATTATGGATTATTATGACTTATATGATGGGAAAATCATGTTTTTTTTACGACATCTTTAAAATTCTTATGAATTCACAAACTTTTCTAACAGCTGTAAAATAAAAACAAATGACTATCACAGCTATAGTCTATGCACTAAAACCAGAAAATTAAGCTAAACTTTGCATATTCCTACATCAGACACCAGTGCCACAAGTTGCTGAAAGAAGTTCATAGTGATGATAGAACATCATTTGTAAACCTTATGAGCCATTTATTGCTGGAGGGTTCCTAGATGTTTTGCAAAGCAATGTGGTGCAGACTACTATAGCATTAAAATAGTTAATGTAGCAGAATGGAAGTAATTATCGTTTTGTCACCAGGAGATGATTAATGAAGGAATACACAGATAAATCAGATTGGTAATGGCTCTATGCTGAGCTTCTGTTCATTTTGGTTTATTGGAAGAGGAGCAAAGTGTGCTCTGGCTGTAGGTCATAACTTGTATAAATTAGAGATTAACTCCACCTTTTGGAAACTAGTGTTACACAAGCCAGTTGGAATATAAATGTATTTTTTAAATCTTTACAGTATACAGAGAACCTCTGAAAATAAAAATAAAAAAATGTACAAGGTCAGTTCTCACTAGAAAGGCACAGGAGCATGTTCATTTCTGTGCGAAGCACATGCAGTGCAGAGCGGTGCGATTTGAGCACATTCATTTTGAATGGGCTGAATCATACTGGACTGCATTAAAAGTAGTGCATTCCTTGTGTTTTGAACGTGGTGTGTGAAACGCACACAGAAGATGGGTTCCCATGCATTGCGTTCTGGTGTGAACTGGCCCCAAAAGAGCACTGAAGCTTAGATGCCCAGCCCAAAATTAGTGGCTTCAGTATGCATCAGTTTATTTGACAATAACTATGTCTAATTTGCCTGCATATATAAATAGTTTTTTTACAACATATAAGGTATTTATTTGGTATCCAGAGAAGCATATGTCAAAAAAGAGCAACCATATCCAGATCACCAACATAGGCTAGGTTGATGGTAAAGGGTAAGTAGTTAACAGCTAGGTTACCCATGATGATTGTAAAGGAGACTGAAAAGGCAACAGCAGTTGAGTTCAGAATACAATTGAATCTAAATAGTGGAGGGTTAGATGGGGTAAGGAGAGAAAGGGAAAACGAGGGGGGTTTCCTGGGGGGGCCACCTGAATCTTGGGTAAAAGTAGGGGCTGAGGATACGTCAAGGGCAACGTGATCAGGGGGGTAGGAGAGAGTCATCGAAATGGAGTGGCAGAAAATGGGTCACCCAGGGTTACCATATCTTGGAATATTGCACAACTATGTTCAGATTGCCTCGAGTTTAGCATGAATTGTGTCTTGGGTAATTCTATTATTGGCTTCCAATACATTGAGAGAGGAAGACTTCCAGGATTTCACTATGGTCTGTTTTGCATCTGTACTTACTTTTAAACAGTTTAAATGTGGTAGAGTGAGAAATGAGCAAGGACAATTCTGGGTCAGGGAAGATAGTTGTGGATAAGTGGGTAGAAGTGCTATGGAAAATGTCTGCCCAGAAGGTAGATGTTGTGGTAATGTGTACCTAAGTCACCAAATCCTCAAAAGCAGCTAGGGGTTTAGGTAAGGATGAACTATGTGATTCTCGCAAGGATCAATGAGTCAAAACTTTGTAGTTTCTAGTGCAGTCATGCGTGGAGGCTTTAGTGGCATCCCAGACTACATTCCAGTCTATACTTTGCGGAGAGACCAAGGTCGTGTTCCCATTTGGCAACGTATGCAGAGGGTTAGAGTTGGGCCCATACAGTAGATGCTGATATAGTTTGAAAACAAGGCCCAGAGAGTGAGGGTCTCGGTGACATACAGGCTTGAAGTGAGTCATGTTGTCTAAAGGGGAGCCTGATCTGACATACTAGGAATAAAAATGCTTTATTTGAAGGTAACAGAAAATCTCCATATTGAGCAGGTTATAGGATTCTTGTAAATCTGGAAAGGTTTTGAATGAAGTTGGGGTAGTCAGTTTGTACTATCTGAGCAGACTCACAGACATCCAAACTTGGAAAGAGGCTGGGATACAAAAGCTGAGTAGAAAGACGGATTCTGGAAAAAGTTCAGAAGAGGGTTATGTGGGGAGACAAGCTTATAGGTACAATTAAGTCTGTCCCAAAGACCAAGGGAGTGTTTTGTGATGGGGTTAGTAAAGTGTGACCAATTGGAAGGGAGTAGCCAAATTAATTAATCTTTTTAAACATTTTAAAATCAAATGTTTATATTGAAATTGTCAAATAAAAGAAAACAAGCAACTGAGCTCTAGGAACAAGCTGCTAATGCACTAAAAAGGTAACCAGATAACCTCCAATATCATATAATGATAATAGGTGCAATAAATAGGCTCAATAAACGACAGTAAAGTGCACATTTAAAAGCTCATAATAAAATTCATAATAGCATTCAAGAGGAAATGTGCAAAAATAAGGTGCTAATAAAATAAAGTGCTGATGAAGAGGTAATAACCAATATTAATGTAAACAGGTGACAATATAAATGTCCATAAAATGTGGCAATAGGTGAATATCCTTATATGAGTGATCATAAATGATATTCCTCGTGCCAGATGTGATAATTCGGTGATGTGCCAGGGATATAGTAAAATTAAGCACTCACCAGATGCGCATTTACAATACGCATGTATATAGTGTGGTCAGCTGGAGGTCCCCTTAAAGGATGAAAACAGCCTGGGCAGGGATCTCCCTCCTCTGGGTCACATGCAGTACCGCAGCCGTCCTCCGCAATGGGCTCTGTGGATTTTTTAGCTCATAATAGAGCCAAAGAAAAGGATGCCCATAGTGTAGTAATTTAAACTTAATTTATTAAATATTGCCATCCATGTGGGTATAAAGTAGATAAAACAAGTAATCAGTAGCAGTAACACACTGACCATCCAAGAACAAAGATGGCTGCTGGACCTGCTCGAGGCTCCGGCGGCATGACATCTGAACTGTCCCCGCTGTGTGCACCAACCACCCGTGTTCTGAACTGTCCCCGATGTGTGCACCGACCACCCGTGTTCTGAACTGTCCCCACTGTGTGTACTGTCCACCGTGTTTTGAACTGTCCCCGCTGTGTGCACCGACCACCCGTGTTTTGAACTGTCCCTGCTGTGCGCACCGACCACCTGTGTTTTGAACTGTCCCTGCTGTGTGCTAGACCAGACTCCACAGCTGGAGTCCTGTTGAGTCCCCGTGACCCCAATGTCTCTAGAAAGCTGGGTGGGAGCTGTTCTAGGCCAGACTCCACAGCTGGAGTCCTGTTGAATTCCCGTGACCCCGATGTCCCTAGAAAGCTGGGTGGAGCTGTGCTAGGCCAGACTCCACAGCTGGAGTCCTGTTGAGTCCCCGTGACCCCGATGTCCCTAGAAAGCTGGGTGGGAGCTGTGCTAGGCCAGACTCCACAGCTGGAGTCCCTGAGACCCCTGCCCCGGGGTAAGTTGCCCGCCTGTTGCCCGAGTCTCCAATCCTCTGTCCAGTCACGGAGGAAGCTTAGTTGAGGCGTCCAAAGGGAGGAAGACCGCAAAAGCCACCCTGCCGGAGAAGACCCCCCATGCCTGGAATCGTCCCTGGTTTGCGCACACATCACCCTCCCTGCCATTTTCCCATTGAGTGTCTGTCATTTTGTTCTTTCAATAAAGCTTTGCGTGTTCCCCATCTTCTCCGTGTGCTTTGTCCTGCCTACGCTTCCGTTACAGTTATAATTTTTAGTTTTTCTCATTTTTTTATGGTACCTTTAAAGTTCCACTTACTCTTCTTTTCACCAGTGAGAAGTTCATTCTCCTCCTCTTTTTTTCTTTTTCTTTGTATCCCCTCTTTCTTTTTTCTTGATATTGTTACGGTATGTCTATTGGGATGTGGTGCCTTTAAGCTCTCCTCTGAATTTCAGAATTCTTGTTTTGTCTTATACGTTTATAAATTTCCACCCATTTATTGTTGCAGCAGTGCTATTACTCTGGTCAGTTATAGGGTACGTTGTAGATAAAATCACTCTTTATTTCCACTGTTCCCTTGCAGCCTTATCTATCCATGTAAGGAGCTGTTTTTACCTCCTTATTAACACTGGGGAAAGGGGCAGGCATAATAAATTCCAAAAAATTCACTTTGTAGTATGCAGACCCATATGTACAGTAACTGCCATAATACCTCCTTGCCATCATAGTCCCCATCATCAAAGGTCCTTTTGCATACTCACATTTAGATCACTTCAAAAATATAGACAGGCTCCACTATCTTTTTTGTCGTATCTCGTGCAGCACTACTCCCTTAGGAGTCGCTAAATATTTGGGCCCCCTATAGTCCTGCACAGCCAGGCAACATGCATTTTCCACAGACTTGCATTCTGGTCACAGTAAACAGTCCTTGAGCTTGTTTGTTTAGTTTAAGGGGGGTTAAGGGGTGTATGGGATGTCCAAGGGAACTGCAACTGAGGAAAACCTCCTGGCAACTATATACACGTCTCTATACAGCAAAGTCTCTTGTAGGAGAGCTCTCCAGCTTCTCTTGGTGCACCACCCCAGACCCCAGATGAGTCCTCTTCTCATCAAGCTGTCTGGAGGAAATCCCTTGGCAAGGGGATCCAGTACTGGGTAAGGAGCTAGACAGGTTTCCCACCAGAATGCCCCTTCCCCTTATCTGATTCAAGTGGTGCAGGATAACTCACACAGTCCTTGCCTGTGAGCTGGTTGGGTTGGTGGCTGCCTTCAGGCCACCTGCTGGGCTGGCTCCACAGGTGGTCCTCCCTCCAGGGACCAGTGGGGCTGAGTGATTCTCCTTTCCAGGTCCCAGCCTGTAGGTAGGCCACTTCCCACTAGGTCTCTTCCCAGGCTCCTGCATCTCAGCCTTACTCACATCTTCAACTCGAACTCTTCTGCTGCTGAGCAGACTCAATCATAATTAAGAGCTGTCCTGACTCCATGCCAAGCCTCCTGCCTGGGGATTGGTAAGGATCTCTTACGTATGCAGATCAGCTCCTCTCACCCCCGCCCACTGCTTCTAGAATCCTCTCCATGTTTCTAGAGCAGGGGGAGGTATCAAGGAACTCATCTGTAGAGCCTCTCAGCCCTAACCTAAATTGTACCCCTCTAACTCAGCCCAGGCTGCTTCTCAGTCTTTCTAGCTAAAAAAAACTAGCTAGCTCCCCCTAGCTAATTAGAGAGGCGCTACACCCATCTTTGTTCTTCACATGATTGGGTCACTAACATTCTTGGCTAGGCTCTCTTTTACAAAGTCAAAATTTAGAAATACAATTTAAATGATCCAGATTAATCTTCCAGATCTTCTATTTTGCTTGATAGACTTCTGGCATTGGAAAACAAATACTTTAATCCTTTTTTGCATTTTGCACTTGGGTTAACCTTATATTTTTTGTAGTACAAATAGTACTGTAATCACCATTTTTTGTTTTTTAAATAGGAATCTCCCTTTCAATTGTCAAAGATCTCCCCGCGCCTACTTCTAATCCAACCTCCATTACTGTCTGACCCCTGTCTGACTTATCTGCTCCATTATATTCTAACTCTCTCCCATAGCACAGCAGACCCTCTTCCACTTAGGTGCAAGCCATCTTTATCATATAGGTTGTATCCTAACAAAATATTAGAAAAATGCTCCATAAACTCATATCCTTCCCTCTTACATCAGGTCTGTAGCCATGCATTTTGCTTTCTAAGCTCCCATTGTCTTTCCTGTGCTGCAAATGGGATAGGCAATATTCCATAGAATATAATCTTGAAGGTCCTTTCCTACATTTTGCATGCTAGTTCTCTAAATCAATTCCTAACGATCCTCCATCATCCATGTATTCTGTCATTGGTCCCAGCACAGTCCAAGACAGCTAGGTCATGCCCATCCCCTCCCAGTAAATTGTCTACCTGGTCCACCAGGTGTCAAACTCTGACACCAGGGAAACAGTAAACCATTCTGTTCAGTCGATCTGGCCAGCAAATTATCCTTATATCATTATCTTATTATTATTATTATCAGTCCTCCTAATTATAGAATCCCCTATTACCATCAGCTATCTAGGCCTTCCTGCATTACCCTCACCCTCCCTACTAGATTGGCTGCTCCCTGGCTGGCATCTAGGGATACCACCTCTGGGTTTGACACCCCTTGGAACTGAAGAAGTGGCCTGGATAGGCTGAAAAGTCTTCCACATTACAGAAAAAGACCAGATGACTGTGTCTAACTACTTTCATCCCTTTGCCAGCTCATGCATTAAATAACAGTGGGGGTCTGTAAAGTTTCACATAGACCTTCATGGTTATCTGCATCTGCTTCTTTTAGTACACCACTGGTGTCCAGAGCAGTGCCCATTAAATCCATGCTTTTCAGCATGTTTGAAGGTGAGATATACAGCATATTGGCTTGTGTCAACATGCTTGTAGTCTTTTCAATGTGGCAAAATCAACTTGTATCTTTACAAAAAATGGAACAATAGAGGATTTCACAGCTTTTTCATTAATTGTTCTTATTTAATTGAAGATGGTACTTGCTTATGATAAATGGCAAACTCAGATATATCTATAGGTTGACATTACCCATGATTTGTATAGATTTGTTGTAATTTATGTGTTAGTTTGCATGCAGTGTTATGTAGTCATTACTGTGGGAATATTGCTCAGTTTACCAGCATTTGATGTATAAAGACAATAGCCTCTCTGGAGTCTTAATACAAGAGTGCCTTTTTATACAGTACCTTTATTAGACTTACCATAATTTGCATAGTTGACATGGTACTCAAGTTTTCCTTCTTAACATCTGCCTTTAATTTGCTAGTAGATGTATTATAAAACGACATGCTTAGTTTCCCAGTGATGTCACTCGTCCTATTCTCTGATAGGTTACCTTTACTATGTGTGTTGGTACTTTGAAACTTTTTTCTTCCTTTTTAATAAAACATCAGTGGAAAGTCCATGTATGACTAAGAGGCTCATGTTACTTTCATGCTGCAGATATATAAAAAATTTTGGCTTGATATTGTCAAGCATACCCTATATCCGCATTCTTGACAAAGGTCAGAGGTTATTCAATTCACGGGACTGATTTACCATTTTTTACTGAAAAGCATGTAATGCTATACGTGCGGCATGCTCTCCAGCCTTACATGTGGGCCCAAAGATACATTTCAACTTAATTTCAAGAATATAATTTAGGTCAAATAAATGGCAGATGTTAGCTGGCTTTTTCAAAAGGCTGCCAGAGTTTGTAACGTCACTGTAATTACAGGCGCAGTCAGTTAGCCACTTTTTACACACTGACATTTGAAGGGGGAGAAATGCTTTCCGCTGTGCCCATCTATTGCTGTAGCTACATGACCGTCATTTAATGAAAAGGTCCCCTTCACAAAGAATTAGTAAGATTTCTCCTTCTTTCTCTACTCACTTCTGCCTTGTTTTTGCCTTCTAAAATTACCTGCTGTCTAGCTCCTGCTGATTTCCCTTTAAATAGTTTTCTGGCAAAAACGCCTGGACCCTCCATCCTTTGCTAATTTTGTCAGGTTCAGGCCATTTGACCCTATTGTTTGGAAGGTAATTGCTGCACCGATGAGTCATATAACCCCAGAGCATCTCGTATGACTGTAGATTGCTTTATGCATCTCAGTTTACAAATGCAATAAAAACAGCGTAAAATGAATTAAGAAGTAACTGCAAGATCTGCAGGGCTAAGTATCTATCTAGTAGAGGAGTCAAGCTTGTCAAAAAATAATTATCATTCCAGGTACTATTGAGGGGATTATTTATTTTGACATGAGTCTAGAAAGATGCAGAATAAAGAAAAAAGTACTCTATGTATTTCATCTTCTGCATCTCTGATATTTAAACATTTTGTTTCATTTAGAAGACTAAACAGTGAATCATGTTTAAAAATGGAGGAAAGAAATGTTGCCACTTGCCACCAAGCAGGTCATTTTTTTAAAGTAAAGTAATAAAAGTAAATTTAAAGTGGAACTCTGGCACACTTGCTTCAGTTTGCTTACATTTGAGAAGAGAAGATCCCCTGTAGCTTAACTGGGGAACATTTATATTACTTCCTCTCCCAGTAACAATGTTGTTATTGAAACAGGAAGTTAGTAGTTATATCCAATGAGGATTCAGACAGCAAAAAAAGTCTGGGGTAGACCAACTAGACTTTTCGTATTCTACAAAATTAAACATTTTATTGTTTTCTATGCCCATTTGGAGATATTTCTGTTCATTTACTCTCCCGGTGATTATGCTTTTTGTAGTAGGGACACAGGCAGCACTAATACCTAATAAGGGTTCTAACTCTTCTTTGGTCCTGCCCCAATAAAAGAAACAAGAGTAAATAAATGATACAGGCAATGCATGAGAAGCAGAGATGTCAGTTTCATTCTCCTTCACCAAAGTCTATCTTGGTATTGGATCCTCTTCCTAGTAGTAGGTT